TGTGAGAGTAATGGGGGTTGGGGATTCAAAAATGGGTAAAAAAAGTTTTGGGGGAGTAGTAGGGGAAATTTGGGGTGCCAGGGGGAAATGTAAATGGGGGAGCCTTTTAAATTTAGCATGTTAAAAAAGAGATTTTTGGGAAAAGTAATACATTTTTTATGAAAAAGAGGATAAATAAAATACAAAGGGAAAGATGTAGCACATAATGAAGTATTTGTTAGATTTCGGATCTTTATTTAGTTGTAGCTACAGTTAGAGTAAGGGGTAATGGGGGAAAAAAGGAGGGGGCAACAAAAAAAATAAGAGGGAGGTGAAAATGTTTAAATAAGGGGGAAAGGGAAGTTCGGGGAGTATAAGCGTTTGGCAGAAAGGGGGGGTAGTGCAAAGAGATAGTGGGGGGGGTTGAAAAGGGTGGAATGTTTTAAAAAAAGCGTATTAGAAAATGGGAAAGTTTGGGTTATAGGGGGGTGGGGGGAGGGGGAAAGAGAAGTATTGGGGGAATGATGAAGTAAAAGGGTGTGATAAAAAGAAAAAAAGTTTCTTAGAGAGGTTTTACAAAACAGAAGTGTTATAAGAAAAGCAAGTAATGGACATAAAAAAAAAGGTGAAGAGAGTGGTGAGAGAGTGCAAAAGGAGGAGATGATAAGAGGAGAGGCACTGTCAAGAAATTTTAATGAAAATAAGAAAAAATTTTGAGGGAGTTAAACAGTTAAAAAAGCCTGGGAAAGTATGGATTTGTCAGTTAAAAATAGAGTAGGGGGGTTAGTAGATGGGGGGAGGGAGGTTTAGGTAGATGGCGAGAATATTTTGAGGAAATTTTAAATGTTTAGGAGAAAGGGAGGGGTAATTTCATGCACGGGGCAGTGAGGTATCCATCTTTTAGGGGGTGAAGAAGAGCAGAATGTAATGTGGGGGAGGGACATGAGGGTTTTGTAAATGAAGGGGGTAAAGCGTGGGAATGATGGGGGTCTGACGAAAAAAGTTTTTAAAACAGGGGGGGGATTAGTGTTAGAGTGGTTGGTACTTTTGTTTAAAAAGTTGAAAGAGGGGAAGGTACCTAGGGATTGGCGGAGAGCATGTATAATCCCTTTATATAAAGGGAAAGGGGAGTTGACGTGTCGGCGAATGGATTTATGAAGGATGAGGTTAATCATAGAATTGATGAGGGAAAAAAGGTAAGTGGTGCGTTGAGGTATATGTGGAGTCAAAAAACGTTATCTATGGAGGCAAAGAAGGGAATGTATGAAAGTATAGTAGTACCAACACTCTTATATGGGTGTGAAGTTGGGTGGTAACTGCAGCAGCGAGGAGACGGTTGGAGGCAGTGGAGATGTCCTGTTTAAGGGCAATGTGTGGTGTAAATATTATGCAGAAAATTCGGAGTGTGGAAATTAGGAAAAGGTGTGGAGTTAATAAAAGTATTAGTCAGAGGGCAGAAGAGGGGTTGTTGAGGTGGTTTGGTCATTTAGAGAGAATGGATCAAAGTAGAATGACATGGAAATCATATAAATCTATAGGGGAAGGAAGGCGGGGTAGGGGTCGTCCTCGAAAGGGTTGGAGAGAGGGGGTAAAGGAGGTTTTGTGGGCAAGGGGCTTGGACTTCCAGCAAGCGTGCGTGAGTGTGTTAGATAGGAGTGAATGGAGACTAATGGTACTTGGGACCTGACGATCTGTTGGAGTGTGAGCAGGGTAATATTTAGTGAAGGGATTCAGGGAAACCGGTTATTTTCATATAGTCGGACTTGAGTCCTGGAAATGGGAAGTACAATGCCTGCACTTTAAAGGAGGGGTTTGGGATATTGGCAGTTTGGAGGGATATGTTGTGTATCTTTATACGTATATGCTTCTAAACTGTTGTATTCTGAGCACCTCTGCAAAAACAGTGATAATGTGTGAGTGTGGCGAGTGTTGAATGATGATGAAAGTATTTTCTTTTTGGGGATTTTCTTTCTTTTTTGGGTCACCCTGCCTCGGTGGGAGACGGCTGACTTGTTGAAAAAAAAACAAAAAAAACAAAAACATGAAATACCAAAATAAAACAATGAAATAAAGTCTTTACAAAAATGTTTTGTTGATATTCAGTAGTAAAGTTCAACTTACGACCGGTTTCTCGGAACCGAACTCGGTCGTAAGTTGGATGGTAGGTGTATATGTAAACAATTGCAGACGGGCGATTCTAACTATGTATGCAAGACAGCCACCGGGGTGGGGGGGGATCTGTAGCTCAAGTACTTTCACACTTCTCAGTGCATCTTCAGGAGCTGTGCAACATTGCAAGAGAGCAACTAAAGAAGGGAGAGATCTTACAGGGTAGCATAGTGCAGCTGTGTCACCGTCCACGGTTTCCCTTATATTATATATCTTCATTATCTAGGTACCTGTTTACTGCTAGATGAAGAGAAGCAACAGTTGTGAATAGACTTACTCAGTCTCCCTCTATCTATTCATGACTGAACTTGAGTTCTACAGATGTGAGCTGAAGAAACTACTACTCTTCCACTATGAGGATAAAAATAAGCCCTATGCAATATTTTTTTATTTAAAAAATTAAATATACTAATGTATGTTAACTGTCATATCTTTCACAACCAAGTTGTAAAATCAAACTACATTCAGTATTCAAAATTCTGATGCACAATTTGACATGCAGTCCTTGGCTCAAAAATAAAAGTATTTGATTCAGTACTCCACAACAATGTTACAAAATTTTTAATATATCTATAATTTAAACATTCTTCTTATATACCAAACCCCTCATGGGGAGATGCCAGTGAGGAGCCCTTGATCCAAAAAAATGGAATCCTCCCCTTCCTTGGATCAAACCCAAATGTCTATCAGTCTCCATGCACTCTATGCCCATTATGGGTTTAGCAATTCCCGATTAAATCAAATCAAATCAAGTTTATTCTCAATAAAGATTACGATTTTTTTTTTGTGTTGATATACAGTACAAACTCGACACAGTAATGTATTTCTTTACATCCATACAAGAAAAATACAGTTAGGCTTCCAAAACATTGATAATATTGTGTAGGTCGATTCGTACAGTTTAAAAGACAGTGCATGAACGCTAATCTACAGTGCAGAACTGACCAAGTATTATTATTATTATAACAATCGGAACTAGAGAATTAACTAATATACAGTGGATAAATACATTTTGTTGTCACCCCTCAAAGTCACATTATTACATGAATAAAATATTGACAACACAGCAAAGTATAAAGACTGAACTAGAGAAGCTGTCAGTCTACTTATCCATTTTGATAAATACAGTTTAGTGCTTCTTTTGATCATAATAATAATAATAAATAATAACAACAATAGTAATAACAGTAGGCCATCACCTTCCCCGACGCTTATATTCCAGAACAGCTGAACTATAGGTGAAAATGCGATGGGATGAGTGAACATCTTTTTTTGGAAAATTAGGTTGTTTCATGGCACCTAGAAAAAGCCAAATAACTTTTCTTTTAAATTCATAACTCATCTAAAATAATTATTGTACAATGATCTTGAAGGCACACAGATGTCATAGGCATATTAAAGCATGATATTACAGTATAATATAACCTAGCATTACCTAATAAAGTAAATGTGACTATTCCTTACCTTAAATTCTGGTTGTTGTTGCTTAGTTGGTTTGATGTTCGTGGAGATATGCATCAATATTCACTATGCTTATAAAGAAATCCATTATGGGAAAAGGTTCCAAGAAACAAAGGGCAATACGTATATAAAAAAAAAAAGACTTGGAAAACACTTTCTTAAATAATAGGCTCCTGAAAAATTGCTAAGCCCAAAGAAATTGCATTGACCAAACCTAATGAACCCCCATTCATATTACTGATACCATAAATAAGCTTAATGGCTTCTCAAATAAAGGGACAAACCTTCCCAGCAAAACTGCAAACTCTATTACTCAGGTTAGTGATTACTTCAGTGGCAGTTATCAAGACTCTACCTGCCCCCAATGACCCTTGCAGGTTTAGCACTGTGCTCTTGGGAGATTCTGAAGAGAAGTTGCAGAGATTGGTGGATGAATTTGGTAGGGTGTGCAAAAGAAGAAAATTAAAGGTGAATACAGGAAAGAGTAAGGTTATGAGGATAACAAAAAGATTAGGTGATGAAAGATTGAATATCAGATTGGAGGGAGAGAGTATGGAGGAGGTGAACGTATTCAGATATTTGGGAGTGGACGTGTCAGCGGATGGGTCTATGAAAGATGAGGTGAATCATAGAATTGATGAGGGAAAAAGAGTGAGTGTGCACTTAGGAGTCTGTGGAGACAAAGAACTTTGTCCTTGGAGGCAAAGAGGGGAATGTATGAGAGTATAGTTTTAACCAACGCTCTTATATGGGTGTGAAGCGTGGGTGATGAATGTTGCAGCGAGGAGAAGGCTGGAGGCAGTGGAGATGTCATGTCTGAGGGCAATGTGTGGTGTGAATATAATGCAGAGAATTCGTAGTTTGGAAGTTAGGAGGAGTGCGGGATTACCAAAACTGTTGTCCAGAGGGCTGAGGAAGGGTTGTTGAGGTGGTTCGGACATGTAGAGAGAATGGAGCGAAACAGAATGACTTCAAGAGTGTACAGTCTGTATGGAAGGAAGGCGGGGTAGGGTCGGCCTAGGAAGGGTTGGAGGGAGGGGGTAAAGGAGGTTTTTGTGTGCGAGGGGCTGGACTTCCAGCAGGCATGCGTGAGCGTGTTTGATAGGAGTGAATGGAGACAAATGGTTTTAATACTTGACGTGCTGTTGGAGTGTGAGCAAGTAACATTTATGAAGGGATTCAGGGAAACCGGCAGGCCGGACTTGAGTCCTGGAGATGGGAAGTACAGTGCCTGCACTCTGAAGGAGGGGTGTTAATGTTGCAGTTTAAAAACTGTAGTGTAAAGCACCCTTCTGGCAAGACAGTGATGGAGTGAATGATGGTGAAAGTTTTTCTTTTTCGGGCCACCCTGCCTTGGTGGGAATCGGCCGGTGTGATAATAAAAAAAAAAAATAATAATAATAAAATAATACCTGCCCCCAACAAAATTTACTGAAGTAACATCAACAATAAATGCACTAATAACAGAGGAGGTAATAAAGCAAATATACTATCATTCATATATAGCCTTGTTTAATAAATTTCTTGAAACTAAAACTTTCCCCAAGATCCTTAAGTTACCTTGTGTTAGCCCAGTCCATAAAAAAAGGATACCTTACTGAAATTAACAGTTATTACCTGGAGTTTACCTGGAGTTTACCTGGAGAGAGTTCCGGGGGTCAACGCCCCCGCAGCCAGGTCTGTGACCAGGCCTCCTGGTGGATCAGAGCCTGATCAGCCAGGCTGTTACTGCTGGCTGCATGCAATCCAACGTACGAGCCACAACCCGGCTGGTCAGGTACCGACTTTAGGTGCTTGTCCAGTGCCAGCTTGAAGACTGCCAGGGGTCTATTGGTAATCCCCTTTATGTATGCTGGGAGGCAGTTGAACAGTCTCAGGCCCGACACTTATTGTATTGTCTCTTAACGTGCTAGTGACACCCCTGCTTTTCATTGGGGGGATGTTGCATCGTCTGCCAATATTTTCGTTGGGGGGATGTTGCATCGTCTGCCAATATCTAATTTACTATTACTGTCTAAAATTTTTGAAAGTTAATACATAAACGAATATATGCAGTGATTTCTACACAGAATATTCTCAACCCTGCCAGTTCAGTTTCAGGCCAGACGATGCAACATCCCCCAATGAAAAGCAGGGGCGCCACTAGAATGAGAAAAGACAACACAATAAGTGTCAGGGGTCCAAGACTGTTCAACTGCCTCCCAGCATACATAAGGGGGACTACCAATAGACCCCTGGCTGTCTTCAAGCAGGCACTGAACAGGCACCTAAAGTCGGTACCTGACCAGCCGGGCTGTGGCTTGTACATTGGATTGCGTGCAGCCAGCAGTAACAGCCTGGTTGATCAGGCCCTGTTCCACCATGAGGCCTGGTCACAGACCGGGCTGCAGGGGCGTTGACCCCTGGAACTCTCTCCAGGTAAGCTCCAGGTAAACAGCAAATATCTCAGACTCCTTCTTTAAAGTGCAGGCATTGTACTTCCTACCTCCAGGTTTCAAGTCCAGCTAACCAGTTTCCCTGAATCCCTTCACAAAATATTACCCTGCTCACACTCCAACAGCTCATCAAATCCCAAAACAATTTGTCTCCATTCTTATCTAACACACTCAAATATGTTTGCTGTATGTCCAAGCCTCTTGCACACAAAACCTTTTACCCCCTCCCTCCATCCCTTACTAGGATGACCCCTATGCCTCCTCCACTCACTAGATTTATACACTCTCCAAGTCATCCTAGTTTGCTCTATCTTCCCTAAATGACCAAACCACCTCGACAACCCCTCCTCAGCCCTCTAAAATACTTTTAGTAACTCCACACCTCCTAATTTCTGTACTACGAATTCTCTGCATAATATTTATGCCACACATTGCCCATTGACATGATATCTCCACTGCCTCTAGCCTCCTTCTCACTGTTACATTCACAACCCATGCTTTACATCCATTTAAAAGTGTTGGTACCACTATCCTCTCATAAATTCCCTTCTGTCTCCATGGATAACATTCTTTGTCTCCACAGATACCTAAATGCACCACCCACTTTCTTTTCCTTCATCAATTCTATGGTTTACCTAGTCCTTCATAAACTCATCTGCCGACAAGTCTACTCCTAAATTCTGAACATATTCACTTTTTCCATATTGTGTGTGTGTGTGTGTGTGTGTGTATAGATATAAAACTGTGTGTAAACACGAATAATCTTCTGATTGAAGAATTAAGACACTTATGCAACACATGGGAATCTTTATTGAAGAAACATTTCGCCACACAGTGGCTTCATTAGTCCAATACAAAGTAGAAATGGGTAAGGAGAAGTTTGAGGTAATCAGTTCCTCAACCTTACCCATTTCTACTTTGTATTGGGCTGATGAAGCCACTGTGTGGCAAAACGTTTCTTCAATAAAGATTCCCATGTGCTGCATAAGTGTCTCAATTCTTCAACTTGTCGGTTTTCAAAACCATTCATCAAATCTTCTGATTGAAGCACTTTAATATATTAACATTAACATCATTTTTATTAAGATTTATAACCACAGAAAGCATTAAAGCCTTAAATAGGAAGACCTCTGGAAGTATTCAGATGCTGAGTTAAAGATATTCATGTAATGCCATGTATCAAATGATACAAATAATAATATTAAAACCCATTAACTCTGGGGTTTTGAGAAAAAAATATTAACTACCTATGCTTTAATGAAAAATTTCCAAGTTAACCTATTATGTTATAAGAGAATCCCAAAACAACTTCCAGTTCTGTACATTCTTGGAGAGTGCACTGTGCTGCTCATTGTTTCCTATGAGTGAAGGACCTGCCCTAGATCTTTTAATGTGGTGCTGTATTTATATTTTACCAGGTGGCTAAAATCTCTATTGGGTTATTATATGGCTAAGATCATTGTCAAAATAAATTTTCATATTTATAGTGACAGGAAATACAACCATCACCACCAGTTTTGTAGATTTACAAACCCTAGCAACATTTATAGATACAACTGAATGCACAAGCAGAAATGAAGATGACCTTCCCCACCAAGATAAAAGCTAATATACACCCTACCACCTGGAAGACCAGAGTTTCACTCTGTTGCTACTCTACTGGTATATAATGAAGTCAAAAAGTCCCATATAAGAACTTTAACAGCGTGAAAAATGAACCAAACGTACTATCAGTCAGATAAAGAAAGCTTACCAGCAAAATTAATTGTATAACTGGTGACTGCAAGCATTTTAATATAAATGATATATCACATTACATTAATGTTTTGCTTATTTGCTCAAAACAGAATTATTTTCAAAAGTATTTGGGTAAACTGCAAATATAAAGCTATTTTTCCCCCTTCAATATGAATTCTGAATTTCTTTTGATAACCTGTATCTGTTTTGGTTATTTTAATGATCTATTTTATAATAATCACAAAGGACCTTTTCCATATCTGTCATATCCCTGTCATATCTCCTTAACTTTACCTCAAAAGGTAAATTAACTATCTAATTTACCATTACCTGTACTTCCTAAGTTGTTTTTATTTACCTTTTATGTACACTTTTGACCTGAATAAACATAAAGCATAATGTGAAAATATGACATTTATACAGTATATATGAAATGTAGGCTGACATAAAAAATTATTTTCCCTCAAATATAGGGCAAAAAACAACATACAAATCTATCATTACCCTAGCATTCTGAAAGTATATTTATTTATTTAGAATTAATTTTCCTAATGCACCCAATATTTAACTTGTTAGACAATATGGTATGATAATTTGATAGGTTAATTATGAGGATGCCTCATGTACTCTCCATTTTGACCTTGTATTCAGTTGTAACTAAAACTATACTATCACAGGCTCTTATAAGTTATAAATGAGCCAAGTTTACTAAAAGTAATTCTTCAATTTTCAAATATCAATTAAAACATTCATATACCAAATACATTCCAAAAGCACTCATCATCAACGTTACAAACAGTATTCATTTTAAGATTTGCAGATTCGTAAAAATATACAGTATTTTAAAAATAAAAATATGTTCTATATTTACTGGCATTTATAATGCCTTAAAAATGAGAGCTGCAAAAATATTTAGACTTATGATTAATATAATAAAATAACATATACATACTGTATTCCTATGGCTTTTTGCTTGGCCTTTGTAAGTTAATTTTTATTGACATTAATCATACAACTCCATAAACAGTTGAACCTTAATTAACACAGTAGTTGTTCCTGGAGGTATTAGCAGGAATTAAAAAAATAGTGATTGGATTAAAAAAAAGTGACTAAACTGATAAAGACTGAAAAATATAGGTTACGCTCCTAGATGGTAAAATGTAAGATATATTTTTTAACAGTGTATTAATTAGTGTGTTTCCTTTGAATCATCAAACAATTTGCCTTCTCCTGAATTACCATATAATTGTAGTAATGACAAGGTAAAAAAAAAAAAGAGAATAATTAATTATTACAATCATAGTGAAGCAACAAACTCTACATAGGGGTCATACAGCACCTAGGGAATTGGAAAGAAACCAGAACATAAATGTGAGAGTGCTCTCACATTTCTAAGGCTCTACGATAATTATTGCTTATGATGTTGGATATATTAATCGGTAGGATGAGAAAAGTTAAATCTAACATTTTACAAAGGTTCCCACAGGATTTTGCAAGGAAAAAATTAAGAATTTCTGCCGTGAGGCAGAGAGACAAGGAGTCGACAAGGGTGGTGGTGTATTGATGCTTGTGTATTGATGCTGGGGAAGAGTTCTTGAGCCAAGGATTTGGCACTAGCCTACCTTTTTATCAAATCACACCATGATTTAGTTGATAGCTCACTCAGGTCCCATACCAAGTGTCCGTGGTTCGACCCTCAGCACGGTTGGAAATGTTGGCAATGTTTCCTTACACCTGCTATCCCTGTTCACCTAACAATAAGCAGGTACCTGGGTGTTAGTCAACTGTTGTGAGTTGCATCCTGAGGAACAAGATTAAAGGGCCCCAATAGAAATAAGAAGTCCCCGATGACAATGACGCACTGAATTAACTGGGTTATCCTGGAGGGCTAATCTTCCGAGTTAAAAATCCAAACAAATCTTATTTTATCTTAAATCTTACCTACCATTCTCCTGACAGTGAATTTGTTTCCTTTCTTGAGTTACCCTACCTTGATGAGGAACTGGCGTTAAAATGTGACAGCACTGTACAACTTACGGGTTTAATGTTTATTTTGTAATACATTATACTGTAATAGTAATAATATTACATTTGAGGAAGCACTAAAGCCATAGGGATAATACATTATCCAGGGAATGGCAAGTAATCATATTTTATCCAATGCAAGAGAGGGAAGCTCCAGTTCCTCGGGTCAAGAACCTATGACCGGGATATTGTGGAAAAAATAATTAGTCAGTGTTCAATAGGACTATTCTAGGTTAAGTGAATATATCGCCTACCCCCAAACAAAATTCAGTATATACTGGTATGCATCAAGGCATTTTTTAGGCTTTCAAACATTGTGCAATGTCAGGATAGACATTGTTCACCAGGCAATAATGTAAATCATGGGTTTATCTCACAGCTTAACAATATAAGCTTGAAGAGTCACATCCAATATGGCTGACAAATGTTTATCAGCCGACTCGAGTCATTTAACTGCAAAACTTCAACAGGTCCCTACACTGTTTACAATGGAAATATTTACCTACAAATCTAAGCCAGGAGCCTATAACTATTAGTGTCCAGGGCCTACAAAGATTATTCCTGGTCTGCCTTGAACTAAAAAGTGAGAAACTCACGTTAACTCATTTCATCTCCTCTAGAGATTATAATGCAAGCTAACAGTCCAGTAGATATACAAAACAATCGTGCACTTTATGATAACAACATGATACTGAGTGGATGTATTTTTTAGTTTGTAAGATTTGAATAAGTGAAACCAATTTCTCAACCCATTCAGCTGTGACAGCAATTTTTGAAGATGGCTGTCATATGCCATTTGGTCGAAGAAAACATGCCAAATAAGCCAGGGATTATACATATTTTGGTAACACTGATGTACAACAGTGCTCCAGGAGAGCTTACCTAAGTGGGGTTACCAACAGACCTCCTGGCTGTCTTCAAGACAGAGCTGGACAGGCACCTAAAGTCAGTACCTGATAGTATGTTGGTTTACGTGTGGCCAGCAGTAACAGCCTGGTTGATTAGGCCCTGATCCACCACGTGGCCTGGTCATGGGCCGGGCTGCAGGGGCACTGACCCCTCCCCCTCCCGGAACACCTCCAGGTAGCTGTTTACTTGTTGCCTACCATGTGTCAAGCAAAATACTGTATGTATATTGCATTTTTTTATATACATATTTTTCTCCTGTTAACTTCATATGTGATATCAGTGGAATTATCAATAAAACAGAAATAATAAAAGTGAAATAAGAGTAACCTGAAGTCAAAAGTAATAGATAACTTCAGATATACATAAACAATTGTTCACGATATTCAAATTACTGTATGTGAAAAATAGTCACTGTAGGAGTGTTGAAAAATGGATGTAGCAATGCGGTGAAACATATTTTAGGATGCTGTCAAACCAAGATTGTAATCTATACTGTCCATGGGTTAAATTGTGAAAACACCCAATTTCAATGATGGTGGACACATTGCCCTGAGTTTTAAAAACCTGAATTGCTTCGTTACCAAAATCAGATGAAATGCCAGGGACACGGTCATAGGACACTAATAATTTGAACTTGCTGCGGATAGTGATTAATGCCTTTGAATACTAAGAAATAGCGGTACTGGAGTTTCCTGCACTAGTAGTATCATCATTATTATTGTTTTATTCGTTATCATCATGACTGGCATAGTGTCATCAACTTGGAGTTGCGTGCAGCCAACATTAAAAAAAAAAAAATAATGGTTACCACGCATACACAGATTGAAAACCAGAGTGGTTCCAATATTCTCACACCTAATGGTCCATAAAACACTTACAGTTTTATGCTTTTATCACAAAATGCATGGCCCTTCTGAAATTATGCATATCTCTGCCAGACTAAAAAGAGGCCTACCACTTCATGGTAATACAGAACCCACATTCTAAATTATATTCTTGCAAGAACATAAGTTGCCATAACCGAGAGAGGGGTAATGAATTGGCACATTTTGAATCTACCTATTTCAGTCTTGACCACAATGAATGTATCTTTTGTTACTGTACTGACAAAACTGCAGTGATAAACACGTATCAATTAAGGTTCGACTGTACAACATAAAAATATAGGCTTTGCTATCATTATTCTTTGGTATATGAGTAACTCACATTGCTCCCTAATGACATATTTTCTTATACAAAGTTCTTGAGCAGCTCTCATCTCCATGTGCAATCTTCAACTTGGAACCATTTAATCATATTTACTGAGATGGTATGCAATGAAGGCGCTCAAACGCTGCCTTCTCCAGTGCTTCTCGATGATTAGGGTGAGCTATCTTGATGAGCTCATAAGCCCTCTGACGCAAGTTCTTACCAAATAAATAAGCAATGCCAAATTCTGTGACCAAGTAGTGTATATGAGCTCGTGTCGTCACCACACCTCCTCCTGCAATGACACAACACACCCAGTTAACCAAAGTATTGGAAAATTTTCACACGCTGTTGAACACCAGTAAAAATAAATCACATTATCAGACTCTGTTGGATTATTCTAGGTTAATTCTTCAAAATTTAACACCTCTGTGTCTATAATTATGATGTGATTAATGCAAATATTATAAAAACTTAAAAACAGTAGTCTGTAAAAATGTAAATTTAAACTCTATAAAACATAACATTACATTTCAAATGCCTTTTCTTCCTACAAATCATATTAAAATAATTTCTGACCCTGAAAAGTTTGGCTGCAAGATTTTTGGAGTTTTATGTTGTAAAGAAAAATCAAACAAAAAAACAGCTTCACGATGGTTTTACTAAAATAATATCAAGATAACTATCAATTAATAAGTGAAATAAACAAGTTCTCTATGAATACGGCTGTATCAATCCTGACAAGAATTCCGTTTTATTTTTTCCACTATAGTATTGACAAGTATAATTATGATTAAATAAATGGTTGTCTACATCTAGGTTGAAAATACATACAGTGGACTGTCTTGAAAATTTGTGATAGTTTCTATTGATAAACCTAAAACCTTACTCACTGGGTGTGAATTATATGCTGCATCAAACTGAAAAACTAAGGCATATTTCATACAAGGTAGGCACTTGCATCAGGCACTTCTTCAAAGAAGCACTGGTAAATAAAAACATTTAGATTTACTGTTATTAATTATATTTTTAAATGAAGTTAAAATTACACACAAAATCAAAGCATGTACTGAAGCTTCTCTAGTAGAAACTTCCATATGATTTAAAAATAATTTTATCATTGGATGAACAAACATTATTTACAGAGACTTAGGAAATCATGTGTTATGGATAATAGAAATATACAAGAAAAATTAGGATGCATCTATGGAACACACCTTGCCTGAGGAATGGTACAATCTTAGACTCGCCCCTAGAGGTGACAGAAGGCATAGCCAGGATGGGTTTTCCCAGTCCATCTCTGCTCACTGCTGCCCCTCTAATGAAATCCACCTGTCCACCAACACCTACAGAAGTGAAAAATATAAGTTATATGTAACTACAATATGTGCAGGTATAACAACAAATATGTACATAGACTAAGTTGTCTTAGAAGGTTGCAAGCATTCATGTGTACTCCCCTTTTCTAAAATTTATATATCACCTCCAGGATAAATCTGTTACTTGGCAGCATCACTCTTCAAGAAGCTAAGGTCAGGAGTTTCTACGGACTGCTTGTGGGGTTGTTGTCTCCCAAACACAGGCCATGGACGAAAAACCTAATATGTTTTAAGCTTTAAATGATGCATATGCATGCTAGTAGCTTTCTTTTTTGCTTAACAGTATTTTATTACATGTAAACTACATTTTTATTCTTCACAAAGAAATACAATTTGTTTGTTATATCTCCTCATTCGTCAAGTTTTCAGTGCCTTTTTACTCAACAAATTTTGTGTCTTTTCCCATTTAAAATTAATAAACATTACAAAATACTTCTGTAATAATGTAATGAACATAATCAGACACATGTAATCTCAAAACAAAAACTAGGGACATTATCAGTAAAATAAGATCTACTAAACTACTTCAATGGTCACAGAAATTAAACAAGAAATCAATGGGTAGATTGCATTTATCTAAATTCCTAAAAGCTTTTGATAGAGTTCTGCCTGAAAACTATCCAATATAGGAGAAACTGACTCAAAAGAGAGTCTATTACAGGTGAATCAAAAGGGGAGAAGGGCAGTTAAGAAATCAACATGTTCAATTAAAAAGAGAAATAAAAAAGGAATAAGAAAAGGAAAAAAGAGATTATAGGTTAAAGTCGTATGAGATTCGAGGATTAACCCAAAAGGTAAAGATAGGCTATTATTGTACAGTGGTTGAGATTCTGATTAAAACAAAAATATGAAGAGATAGAGAAAATGTCTCGCCATGGGATAATGTCATTAGGAGGCTCTAATGAGGACCAGTGCTTGCCCTGATAGTTTCAAATTTATATAGATGATAATACATTTGAAGATGATGCAAATATCATATACAATTATTATTATATATTATCACACTGGCCGATTCCCACCAAGGCAGGGTGGCCCGAAAAAGAAAAACTTTTACCATCATTCACTCCATCACTGTCTTGCCAGAAGGGTGCTTTACACTACAGTTTTTAAACTGCAACATTAACACCCCTCCTTCAGAGTGCAGGCACTCAAGTGCAGGACTCAAGTCCGGCCTGCCGGTTTCCCTGAACCCCTTCATAAATGTTACTTTGCTCACACTCCAACAGTACGTCAAGTATTAAAAACCATTTGTCTCCATTCACTCCTATCAAACACGCTCACTCATGCCTGCTGGAAGTCCAAGCCCCTCGCACACAAAACCTCCTTTACCCCCTCCCTCCAACCTTTCCTAGGCCGACCCCTACCCCGCCTTCCTTCCACTACAGACTGATACACTCTTGAAGTCACTCCGTTTCGCTCCATTCTCTCTACATGTCCGAACCACCTCAACAACCCTTCCTCAGCCCTCTGGACAACAGTTTTGGTAATCCTGCACCTCCTCCTAACTTCCAAACTAAGAATTCTCTGCATTATATTCACACCACACATTGCCCTCAGACATGACATCTCCACTGCCTCCAGCCTTCTCCTCGCTGCAACATTCATCACCCATGCTTCACACCCATATAAGAGCGTTGGTAAAACTATACTCTCATACATTCCCCTCTTTGCCTCCAAGGACAAAGTTCTTTGTCTCCACAGACTCCTATATATATAAAATATATAAAATATATAAAAAATATATAAAATAAAAATGAATAATCTGTAGAACCTTCGGATATGATGAGCAAATGACCTGACAACCAGATAACAGAATTTAACACAGATAAGTGCCACTTAATTAAGAAGGAAAAAAGCAAAAACAATCTTCATGAATAGACATGATTAAATATTTGAAGCACTTTAAAGAAAAAGACTTTTGGAGTAATAGATAAAATATTGTCACTTGAAGCTCATAAAAGTATTCATATGACTCCTTGGCAGACTTCAAAATATCCATTAGATATGAGATGGTAAAATGCTACAAAAAAAAATTAGCATACATTTAACTAAATGTGCAATATGTAATAGAAGAAGTTTAGTATTCACAGCAGATTCGAGCTCTGACCTGAATACATCATTGTGCCAATGGAATCTGACACAACCTGCCCAGTCAGGTCCACTTCAATGCACGAGTTGATTGCTGTCACTTTTGGGTTTTGGGCAATGATGGGAATGTTGTTAACAAATGACACATCACACATTACTGGAGGGGATAAAAAAAAATAAAAATTACTATAACCTAAAATATATCAATTCCATGACGGCATAATACGAAATGTCTTTTCCATTTCACACTGTATTTCAGTATATGGCATATCAGTTTTATTCATTCATATTTGTTGAAAATAGCAATCTATAAAATAACAAACACTGTAACCAATAACAGCACCATGAACAATATTTACAAAAAATGGTAAACTCTGCACTTGTTTATTGTGAAGGGCACACCAACTTACCAACAAATGGATTGTTGTCAACAAAATCAAACACTCTACGTGTTCCCACTATGAAACTACCAACAATTTTTCCTGGATGGTATTTCTTGTGTGTGTTGGTGATACAGCCATCCTCGACAAGGTCAACCACGCCATCACTGAACATCTCAGAGTGTATACCAAGGTCTTTGTGACCCTTAAGCGAAGACAAAACTGCATCAGGAATGTTGCCTATACCTGCAAGAGATAACAGCATTGAAAATATAATAAATACATTAAAAAAATTCAGTGTTTTAAAAACATACAATATCTAAACTAGAATCCCAGTAAATAAATACACTGAAAGTAAATAAAATATGAGATAATACTAAATAATGTATCTTCACATCAAAGAAGAACAAATGAGAAAAACAAATACGTACTACATCTAGTATTTACTACGAAAAGAGGGGGAATTCCTTTCTGTTAGAATCGAGTTGAAAACTCGCTGAATATCTATTGTGCAGTTCTAGCTCTTTTTTGTGCTTATAATATTTTAAAAACACTACTGTCAAGTGGAGATAAAGTATATTGCAAAGCATGGCCTGCAGGAGAAACAAATACATACAAGACTGACCAGACTACAATGCAGGAAGGTATATTGATCAGGATGTGCTGTAAATAACTTAAATGGAGCAAAATACTGCAAGACAGATGTAAATTACAATATAGGAGGAGCTTTTCAGCATCTATGAAGAAGAAATATACCTTAACTAATGAAAAGCATGAAACAATAAGAATGGTTAAACAATGGCATAAGTTAACAGGTACTTTGAAAGATACACTATATGCTGAGAAATCTAGATTACAACATTTCCTCCAGTGCTGGACTTTATAAAGTATAACTGATAAAATGTTGTAATAAAGGTTTCACTGTATATTTACTGTCTCACAACAGGCATGGTTGAACAATAGGCTCTGAAAATCCACACACAAAAATGACAAAATCTGTAAACAATACAGAAAGCCTAACTCTATACCCAATATATTCAACAGGCTTATTCCTCTATAATTCTTATGGTTCCTTATACCACTGTCCCTTTATACAAAGAAACTATGCATTCTCTTTGCCAATTCTTAGGTGTCTTCCCTTTTTTCATGGATGTATTGAATAAATACACCCACTACAAAGCTATATCCCCACTTCTGAACATGCCTGTCTGAATCCCATCTGTCCGTGCTACTTTACTCATTTTCATCCTACCCATAGCCTCAAGCACTTCTAAATTCACCACTGGCTCTTCCTTACCCTTATGTTATTCCTCCCTGCCCAATGTATGGAATCACTTCCTCCCTTTCTTTATCAACAGTTAACAGCTCATCAACATATTCTCTCCATCTTCCCCATTTAATATGCTCCCTCTTTCGTTTTTAACTGCCAAGTCCATTTACCTCCCAGGCCTTCTCAACTTAGTAACCTTACCCTCTCTGAAAATGTTTCATATTTCCAGCAAAGTTTGCTTATGAAGCCTCACCCATTCTTTCGTATATGCAAAATATATGATATACTGTACAACATATTTATATAGCAAATACCCATTTGCAAAGTGGCACCATTCTCCACCAGTTCCTCTGCTATGAGTCGTCCTATCTCATTCTCGACATCTGATCTTTCTTTGGGTTCATGCTCTGGCAAGTTTTCTATACCATCCACCATGGCATCGAAGTGACTCTTGTGGATCACACCATCACCAAATGTGCGAGGCATACAAGGATTCACCTGAAGTACACCAAACACCATTTGTTAACAGGAAATAGTGAAAGATTTCATTATCCAGAAACATTAAATACTGTAAAATCGAGATTTTACATTACATAACATTACATAACAGAATGAGATTATTACCACAAAAAATGTTTAGAAGAAATCTACATAAAAAAAGTACAGGTGTAGGAATTAACTGGAATTTTACGTGAATACCACAAATTGGAACAAAATATGTTGTGCAGAGCATAAAATTTATAAATGGCAATGTTATGCTTGGGTTATCGACTTGAAAAATGTTTGTGTGTAGGAGGAAGCGCTTTAACATGATCATCCTGAACAGATTGGGCTCATGAGTGATGTACATGCTGATTTGGATACTTATGTAATTTATTTGCATAAACTAAATTTAAAGAAATGGGGAAAAAATAGTTGAAAAACAAAAGCCTAGTGTTGCCTGATCAATATACCACAGGGGTTTAGATTTTTTTGTGAAATGATGATAATAATAATAATAATTACCTGTCCAATGATGTGTTTAGCATGTTGCACAGCAGCTCGTGCACAGTCCACACTTGTACCCAGAGAACAAAAGCCATGTTTATCTGGGGGTGACACCTGCAAAATATGAGTGCAAAATAAATAACCTACATACATGACTGAAAGTATGCATAGTTCCTTTCTATATGGTAAAGGGGAACAAAAGAGTTTAAAAATTAATGGAGAATAAACCTGTTGTATATGTCGGATAAAGTGTATGGTAAAATTATTATTGAAAGAGTTAGGATTGCAGAGGAACAAGGAGGATTTTAGGAAGGGTAAGGGATAGTGTGGTAGACCAAGTATTCACACTTAAGCATAGAAGTGCACAATATCTAGATGAAGGTAAAGAACTAGTCGTCATATTTATGGATTTAGAATAGGCATATGACAGGGTGGATAGGGGAGCAATGTAACAGAAGTTGTGAATGCATGGAACAGGCAGTCAAGAGTTTCATGGAAAGCGAAGCTCTGAAGGGGACTACTTTCCAGTAAAAATATGTATTGGATAGGAATATATGATCTCACCCTGGTTATTTAACATATTTATAGACGGGGTTATAAAAGTGAATGCTGGGTAATGAGAGGTGATGGATTTAATAATGATGAATCCGATTCAAGGTGAGAATTGTCACAGTTTCTCTTTTCAGAGATTGTAAAGAGAAGGCTGGTGAATGAATATGGGAGGACATGTAAAAGATGGAAATTAAAAGTAAACAAAGAAAAGAGTAAGTGATGAGAAGAACAATAAGTCTAGGCAATAAAAAATTGGCGAACGGAAACAGCTATCAAAACTTTGGGGCCCAGTCCCTGGACCCATTACGTACCTCTGTAATCTTTTGACTACCACCCACAGGATGGGTATGGGGTGCATAATAAACATATTAAACTAAATGGAATGGAAGGAGAATGGAGAAAGTGTAATCTAAGTATGTAATCTAAAACAACAATTATAACCTAATCCACTTCTGACCAACGATGGCATCGATTAACGATAAATCCGACTAGCGCTAAAAAACTCGACCAACACTATTTGTTCTGTCAGACGCGTCCACTTCTGGCCAGTGTTTACAAGCCAGCCAGCCACCGCGGTCGCTTCCAAGCATACAATCGGAACATTTCATGTTATCACAGCCTTTTTAGTGATTGCACCTGCAAAATAAGTCACCATGGGCCCCAAGAAATCTTCTAGTGGCAACCCTACAGCAAAAAGGGTGAGAATTACTATGGATATGAAGAAAGAGATCATTGCTAAGTATGAAAGTGGAGTGCGTGTCTCCGAGTTGGCCAGGATGTACACAAAACCCCAATCAACCATCGCTACTATTGTGGCCAAGAAAACGGCAATCAAGGAAGCTGTTCTTGCCAAAGGTGCAACTATGTTTTCGAAACTGAGATCGCAAGTACTCGAAGATGTTGAGAGACTGTTATTGGTGTGGATAAACGAAAAACAGATAGCAGGAGATAGCATCTCTCAAGCGATCATATGTGAAAAGGCTAGGAAGTTGCATGACGATTTAATGAAAAAAATGCCAGCAACTAGTGGTGATGTGAGTGAATTTAAGGCCAGCAAAGGTTGGTTTGAGAGATTTAAAGGGAAGGGAAGTAACCCCGGAAAAGGACTTGCCACCTCAAGTCCTAATGGAAGGGGATTCCCCTTCTAAACACTAAGACCATCAACACTCTCCCCTCCTCCCATCCCAACAATCATCACCAGATCTTCAATAAAGGTAAGTGTCATGTAACTGTGCATGTCTTCTTCAGTTTGTGTGTATTAAAATTAATATTTCATGTGGTAAAAACAATTTTTTTTTCATACTTTGGGGTGTCCTACACGGATTAATTTGATTTCCATTATTTCTTATGGGAAAAATTAACTTGACTAACGATAATTTTGACTAACGATGAGCTACCAGGAACGGATTAATAGCGTTAGTCGAGGGTCCACTGTATATAATTACAACTTATTGTATGTCCCTAAGGACATACAATAAGATGTAATTGTATATTTTTTAGCTTCTTGCTTAAATTTTCTTATGATTTCTGCAAAATAATTATTAATGTTAGATTCCATCTGCTTAGAATTCGTTGGTTAGATTATCATTAATTGCTGATAGGCATTTTAGGGAGTAAATATGGTCAATGAAACAGCAGAAAATGTTGAAAATTGATTCTATAATAATAATAATAATAATAAATAATAATAATAATAATAATAATAATAATAATAATAATAATAAATAATAATAATAATAATAATAATAATGAACATTAAAATGGTATAAAATACCGACAGGTTGTTAGGTAAGACACATATGCAACAGTTAGGTAACTGTTGCATATGTGTCTTACCTAACAATAATAATAATAATAATAATAATAATAATAATAATAATAATAATAATATCTTTATTTCTACAAGTACATGTACAAGGTATACAGACCATAGCTGACATCGATGACATACTACTATATAGAGAGCCCCTTGTTATGATGAGCATTTCGAGCAAATTAGGTCATTTTGTCCCAGGATGCGACCAACACCAGTCCACTAACACCCAGGTACCCATTTTACTGTTGGGTGAACACAGACAACCGGTGTAAGGAAACACGCCCAATGTTTTCACCCCTGCGGGAATCCAACCCGAACCCTCAGCGTGTGAAGCGAGAGCTTTTGTCACTAGGCCACTGGCCTGGTGGCAAAAGCTCTCGCCACACACCAAAGCTCGACCATCTCCCATTGAGGCAGGGCGACCCAAAAAAGAAACACCATCATTCACACAATCACTGTCTTTGAGAAAGTGCACAGTTAAGACAGCAAATATCCCCCCCCCCCCCCCTTTAAAGTGCAGGCATTGTACTTCCCACCTCCAGGACTCAAGTTCGGCTAACTGATTTCCCTGACTCCCTTCACAAAATATTGCCATGCTCACATTCTAAGAGTTTAAGTCCCAAAAACAAAATTCATCTCCACTCACTCATAACATGCTCACACATGCTCGCTGTATGTCCAAGCCCCTTGCACACAAAACTTCTTTTACCCCCTCCCTCCATCCTGTCCTAGGACAACCCATAACCCTCCTTCCCTCCACTACAGATTTATACACCCTCCAAGTCATCCTATTTTGCTCCACCCTCTCTAAATGACCAAACCACCTCAACAACCCCCCCCCCCTCAGCCCTCTCAATAATACTTTTAGTAATTCCACATCTCTTAATTTCCACACTAAAAATTCTCTGCATAATATTTTCGTCACACATTGCCCTTAAACACGATATCTGCACTGTTTCCAGCCTCCTTCTCAATGCAATATTTACAACCAATGCTTCACACCCATAGAAAAGGGTTATATACCACACAAAAAGAGCTCAGTAGCAGGCGCAGAATGTGATTTCAACCTCGTATAGCACAGCTTGGTAGATGTGCAGTATAATTATTATTATAATCATGGGAGGGCACTAAACCCATAGGATTATACAGCCCACATGGGGGGGGTGAATGGAAGGTATTCAGGCTCAATTCAGGGAAATGGAGTACAGATCCAATTAACTAGATCAAGAGCCCCTCACCAGCATCAAGGAACTTCCCCTGAGGGGTAGATGTGCAGTAGGGTAAGGAGTTGGTAGTCCATCACACTCAGTGCCCCTAACAAAATGCACCAGATCTTGACTGAGTATTCCACTTCTTACCATGACCATGAATATTTACCACGAAGGATGTATGTAGGTGGCCACATTTACCTGTACAAGCGCAACATCAATAGCAATGATTTTTCGATGGAACAACAGTGGAATCTCCGAGAGGAATATAGGCACGAAGTCCCCTCGACCATCATTCACAGCCTGGCGGCAATTAGAGCCTATGAAAAAGGAGTTGCTCCTAAAGATGCCTGTGGAAAGAATTATGTATTGTAAATACACAATACATACTATTTATAAAATGCTGCTACCCAGCACTTTATAAATACTATACACAAAAACTGAGGTTGATACATAAGTATTCAGTTTTAAGAGCTAGTTTTAATAATAATAATAATAATAATAATAATAATAATAATAATAATAATAATAATAATAATAATAATAATAACAGTAATATTAATAATAATAATAATAGTCATCCAATCAAAATTACAGGATATACTTCCAATAAGAAAATTGTTATCTAGAATATACTTCATTACACCAACTAACAATAGCAATTATTATAATAACATCAACATGAGACATAAGACAAGAATGCCACTGAACTAACCTTCACAGTCTGGCTGAGTGTACAGCGCTGGGCCCTCAGTGTGAATATGACAGACAGTGACATCTTCTAGCTGGTTAGCTTTGCCATGTCTCGTCATTGCTTCCACCAGCTTGATGGGAGTGGCAGCTGCTCCATGCACGAATACAACATCTCCTGTGACCAAAAGATAAATCTGAGTGTTACTTCCTCAGTACAATGGAACTAACATACATGTATATACTATATACATGTATATGCATATATATATATCTATATATTATATATATCTATATATATATATATAATATATATATATATATATATATATATATATATATATATATATATATATATATATATATATATATAATATATATATAATATATATATATATATATATATATATATATATATATATATATATATATATATATATATATATATATATATATACATGTATATACATATATACAGTGGTCCCTCGTTTTTCGTAATTAATCCGTTCCTGGAGCCGTTACTACAAACGAAATTTACAATTTACGAATCAATTTTCCCCATAAGAAATAATGTAAATACAATTAATCCGTTCCTGACACCCAGAAGTATTAAAACCAAAAAAATTTTAACATGAAATATACATGTAGTACATAAACAATACAATGGGAAATGATGACTGAAACATTAACAGCATAACACTTACCTTTATTGGAGATTCTTCTTAGTGTATGGGAGACTGGAGAAGAAGAGAGAGTGGATTGTTTATAGTTTGGAAGGGGAATCCCCTTCCATCAACACCTCAGGTACCATTTGCTTTTCTGGGGTTGCTTCTCTTCTCTGTTTCTTAATGCCACTAGGACCACCTTGAGAGTCACTGGAGTCCTGTCTCACAAAATAACTGTGGAGAGAGCTCTGTTTCTGGCGTCTCTTTAACACTTCCCTAAAATGGCCCAAGACTTCGTCACTGTACATGTTGCCAACCTGGCTTGCAACAACCTTGTTAGGGTGATGTTTCTCCATAAAGCTTTCCATCTTACCCCACATAGTAAAAATCTCTTTAATTTCTGAAGAAGGCACCTTCTTCCATCTCTCTTCCTCCTCTGCAGCAAGATTCTGAGCTGCGATGTGTTGCTCTTCCTGCTGAAGCTCTTGCAGCTCCTCAGTGGTGAGCTCTTCATTGTGGTCTTCCACCAATTCTTCCACATCCTCCAAACTCACATCCAACCCCATGGAACTCCCCAGTGCCACAATTGATTTTACAACAGACATAGGCTCATTAGGGTCAGTCCCAAATCCTTCAAAATCCCTCTTGTCGACACAATCTGGCCACAATTTTCTCCAGGCAGAATTCAAAGTCCTGGTAGTCACTCCCTCCCAAGCCATACCTATAAGGGTTATGCAGTGGAGGATGCTGAAGTGTTCTCTCCAAAATTCCCTTAGGGTCAAGTGAGTGTCTGTGATCACAGTCAAGCACCTGTGAAACATTGCTTTTGTGTAGAGTTTTTTAAAGTTTTCAATAACCTGCTGGTCCATGGGTTGGAGGAGAGGAGTGGTATTCGGGGGCAAGAACTTTACTGTGATGAACCCAAACTCCTCGAAAATTAGGTCATCCAAGTTAGGAGGATGAGCAGGTGCATTGTCCATTACTAGCAGGCACTTGAGATCCAATTTTTTTTCCAGGAGATACTCCTTCACACTGGGGCCAAACACTTCTTGAACAACTCACGAAATTTCCCTCGTGACCCATGCCTACTTTAATTTCCAAAACAAACAAAATTTACTTTCTAACATTGTTTTTCCTAAACACCCCGGGGTTTTTCGAAGGGTACACTATAATGGCTTCACTTTGAAATCCCCATCTTAGCAAGAACTTTTGCGCAGCCTGTCTTTCTGGGCTTGTGCTTGGCATTCCCTTTTTCTCTTGTGTAATAAAGGCCCCTTTTGGCATTTTCTTCCAAAAGAGGCCTGTTTCGACAAATTGAAATTGTTCGGTTTCAGCCCCTTCAGCCTCTAGTACCCTGGAATTCATGCACATATTTTTCAGCCGCCTTGGGGCCCAAACGGCACCCTCCCATGCCTTACTAACTGTGTATCCATACGGTTCTTAATCTCTCAAACCAGCTTTGCGGGCCCTTTAAATTCCTCACTTCACCATATTTCGGCAATTTCTTTCCCAAAATTTTCATGAAACTGCCTATTTCACAAATAATCGAAGTCAAAGAGTATCCCCTGCTAATTGTTTCTCATTTGCCCACCCCAATAATAACTCTCCCCCTTTTCCCAGTACGGTGATCCATTTTTGTCAGCATAGTTCTCCCTTTGCAACAACGCATCCTTTTTTTTCCCTTTTTTTTTGGCCACTAGGGAAACAAAAGGTTGTGTAGGGTTTCTTAACCCTGGAAGTTCGGCCACATTGTCCACTTTCATATTTTTCAATGTGGTTTTCTTAAATTCAATCGTATTTCTCACCTTCTTTTCCAAGGCTTGGCACTAGGGGTTTCTTTGGAGCCTGGTAGCTTTTTTAGTACTTTCAAGCACTAAAATAAATGGAATATATGAAATATTTCCGGAGCACGTGAGGGACCTTGCTATGGTAAACCAAAGCCAGACTGGCTGTCGCCCCGGTCACGCCGTGGGTACGCGCCCCGGGCAAACTACGACTTCCACGAGTCAAACCAAAGAAAAGCGAGTCCATGTTCTACGAAAAAAAACCCCTAGATTGGGAATTTTACGTTGCCGCGAACTACGAAAAGCGGGGGGACCATGTAATATATTCATGCCCAATATGTAAAAATGGTCAATTAGCAAGAACTCATTTAAAAATTAAGTCCCTTTCCCCAAAATTTTCTTTTACGTTTAAAGATATATTTTTTTTTTATTAATGTTAATGTAAAAAATTTTTAATTTTGCACCAAAAGAATCTTAGAAAAACTTTTTCTAACCTTATTTTAACAACAACAATTTATTTTAGCCTAACCCAACTATTTATTTTAGATTTGTTTACAAAAAATTTAATACTAAACCCAAAAAAGTGAAATATATTTTTTCGTTGGTTTTAAATATTTTTGGGGAAATTATTTTAACACAAATTTCGCTTTTCAAAATGGCAAGATGGCGTTGCATTTTAAACCAAGACGCAAATTTTTTGCCTATTCGGCACACAACAAAACATACATACATATATAATATATTTTTTATATATTATAAATAATATATATAATTAAATATATATAAATATATATATATATATATATATAAAAAATTATATATATATATATATATTAATTTTAATATTATATTTTTTTTTTTTTTTTTTTTTTATCACACGGGCCGTTCCCCCCAAGGCGGGTGGCCCAAAAAAGAAAAATTTTCACCATCATTCACTCCATCACGTCTTCCAAAGGGTGCTTTACACTACAGTTTTTAACTGCAACATAACACCCTCCTTCAGAGGCAGGCACTGTATTTCCCCATCTCCAGGACTCAGTCCGCCTGGGGTTTCCCGAACCCTTCATAGATGTTATTTGCTCACACTCCAACACCTCAAGTATTAAAAACCATTTGTCTCCTTTCACTCCTATCAAACACGTCACCATGCCTGGGAATTCCAAGCCCCTCACACAAAAAACCCTCCTTTACCCCTCCCCCCCAACCCTCTCCTAGGCCGACCCCTACCCCCCCTTTCCTTCCACTACAGCTGATACCCCTTTTTGAATTTATTCTGTTTCACTCCTTTCCTCCACATTCCGCCACCTCAAAAACCCTTCCTCACCCCTCGGGACAACATTTTTGGGAATCCCGCACCTCCTCCTAACTTCCAAACTACAAATTTCTGCATTATTTTCACACCACACTTGCCTCAACTGACATCCCCACTGCCTCCACCCTTTTCCCCTTTGCTAAACTTTCATCCCCCATCTTCACCCCCTATAAGAGGTTTTAAAACTTTTCTTCATACATTCCCCTCTTTGCCCCAGGACAAAGTTTTTTTTGTCTCCACGATCCCAAATGCACCCCCTCCCCTTTTCCCTCTCAATTTATGATTCACCCCTCTTTCATGACCCTCCGTGACAAAGTCCACCCCAAATATCTGAATACACACCTCCTCCTACTCTTCCCCCAATTGAATCCAATCTTTCATCACCCACTTTTGTTTTCCTCTAACCTTTACTTTTAAACCCCTAATTCTTAATTTTCACATTATTTCTCTTTTTTCCTTCCATAATGATCATTCAAAATTACTGCTACCCCTTCCCTTTTCTCTAAATCTCTCAGATACCCCGTTTAATCCCTTTATTTCCCCCCACCGAAAAATCCCCCACCCCCTTAAACTTTGTTTCGTTTGGGCAGGGCATCCAACTTCTTTTCATTTATAACATCAGCAATATCTGTTTCTTGCATGCACTACATCCCCGCACATTTAAGCACCCATTTTTATAAAATTTTTTTCTTCTTTTTTGTAAATGTCTACAGGAGAAGGGGGTTTCACCCATTTTCCCCCCCGGCATTTTATCGTCATACACACCATGGGTTTTCGGGGGAAGATTCTTTTTCCCCTTCCCCCTGGGCAAAGAAGAAAAAAAAAGGGAAAAAGACTATTTTGAAAAAGGAAAAAACCCAGATGTTGTTATATTATTGCAGTGCGTGTCTGTGAAGTGTGACCAAAGTGTAAGTAGGAGTACAAGATTCCCTGTTATTGCGTGTTTATGAGACAGAAAAAAAACCCGCAATCCACCATCATCAAAACATTTTCAGGTTTCTGTTTTTAAGTCATTTGGGAGGGCGGTAGTATTCCCCGGGGGGGTTTTTTTTCTCCAACCTATACCTAATATATAAATAATATTTATTATTTTTTTTTTTTACACACCGGCCCATTCCCAAAGGCGGGTGGCCCGAAAAGAAAAACTTTCACCATCATTCACTCCTCACTGTCTTGCCAAAGGGGCTTTACATACTTTTTTTAAAACTGCAACATTAACACCCCTTTCGAGTGCAGGCACTGTATTTCCCATCTCCAGGACTCAAGTCCGGCCTGCCGGTTCCCTGAACCCTTTCAAAAATGTTACTTTGCCCCACACCCCAAACCCAGCAGTCAAGTATTAAAAAACCTTTTTGTGCCCCATTCACCCTTAAACACGCTCACGCATGCCTGCGGGAAAGTCCAACCCCCTCGCACA